GCCGCCTTTAAATCATCAAAGGCTCTTTGACATTTTACGGTCCAATCCCATCCTTGAGACTTTTTGAGCAAGTCCGTCAATGGGGCTGCTCTGGATGAGTAGCCTTTAATAAAACGCCGATAGTAATTCACCAATCCAAGGAAAGACCGCAACTCCGTCGCCTTAGTAGGTGGCTCCCATTCATTGATTGCTTTTACTTTGGCTCCATCCATTTTCAAGTGACCATGCCCGATGATATGTCCCAAGAAATGAACCTCTTCTTTGGCAAATGAACATTTCTCCTTCTTGATGTATAATTCATTTTTCCGCAACACTTGGAAGATAATTTTCAAGTGCTCAACATGTTCCTCCAACGTGTTGCTATAGATGACAATATCATCAAGATAAACCACCATGAACTTATCCAAGTATGGATAAAATATCTTGTTCATCAAGGTACAAAAGGTGGCCGGGGCATTTGTCAAACTGAACGGCATGACAAGCCATTCATAGGAACCATACCGAGTAATGCAAGTAGTTTTAGGCTCATCTCCTTCCGCAATCCGAACTTGATAGTAGCCTTCTTGCAAATCAACCTTGGTGTAGCATTTAGCGCTACCAAGCCGATCAAATAAGTCCGCAATCAATGGAATAGGATATTTGTTTTTCACCGTCACCTTATTTAGTGCCCAGTAATCAACGTACATCCTTAGTATCCCGTCCAACTTCTTTTGGAATAACACTGGGGCGCCATAGGGAGCTTTGGATGGTCTAATCCTTCCCGTCTCCACAAGCTCCGTAAGTTATTTTCGAAGTTCCTCTAACTCCGGAGGTGCCATGCGATAAGGTGCCATGGCCGAGGGTTTGGCACCGGGCTCCAACTTAATGCGATGGTCTACTTCCCTCCTAGGTGGAAGTTTCTTTGGCAACTCCTTGGGCATCACGTCCTTATTTTCCTCAAGGACTTTTCCAATTACATTTGGTAAGTCATCATTATTTGCGGTGACTTCGGTTGCAACCGACAATTGAGCAATGAATGTCGGCTCACCCTTCTTCCATCCTTTTGCTAATTGCATAGCCGAAAGTTGTCGTGTTTCCATCCCCATGGAAACGGTAGGAACCATGCATGATGATCCCTTCTCCAAGATGCATATTGAACCAAAGGAAGGCATAGGAATAGCATTAAACTTCCTTAAGAAATCCAAGCCTAATACTAGCTTGAAATCATCCATCGGGGCCACAGATATATCAACAGGTCCATGCCACGAACCCAACCGTAGTCTCGCTCCTCGAACTACGCCTGCTAATGGCTTTGCAATTGCATTCACTGTTTTCATCAATCCACCTCCATGGTGAATGTTCAATCCAAGCCTCCGAGCTTCATCCTCCGTGATGAAATTGTGTGTGGCTCCGGTATCAACTAATGCCCGTGTTTGCTGTCCATTGATTTCGGCAAATACGAACATCAATCCTTTTTCTCTGTTCACCCCTGGAACGGTTTTGGCATTCAAAGCATTGAAAGTTGCAATGAACCCATATGACTTGCACCTTCTTCCTTGTCATGGGAAGCCTCCAGTTGAGTCTCCGTAATAGATGCCAAGGATCCAAGTTTAGGGCAATCTCGCATGAGATGTGGCCCTTTGCAAATGAAGCAACTACGAGGAGCAAAATTACCCCTCTTTTTATCATCATACTCCTTCCGCCAAGTAGTTGGTTTGTTGCCACCGGGTTTGTAATCAACTTTGGGATTTGGCCTCCAATTTGGCTTACTCTGTTGCTTATCTTTTCACATATCACCTCCCCCTTTGCTAAAACTCCCTTTAGTTGGTTTGAAAGTCCTTGCTTGCGACTCCGTACTCCTTTGGAACTTCGTCAAAGATTCGGCAACCGCAATTGTCTCATCTACATTTTTGACTCCGCGACGTTGTAATTCTTGCTGGACCCATGTTGTACATCCATCCATGAAATAGAATAGCAAGACATCCTCCGGCATGCTAGGGATTTGAAGCATAAGGGTCGTGAACTCTTTGACATAGTAACGGATGGTCCCTTTTTCAATTCTCTTAGTTTCTAGCGGGCCTCGTACACAACGTTCTCCGAGTAAAATTGCCTTTTTAGCTCCCTTTTGAACTCATTCTAAGTATCAATTCTGCTAGCTCCATGTTCAACATCGGCATGCTTACGATGCCACCAAAGAGATGCGGTGTCATTAAGATACATAGAAGCGGTCCGAACTTTCATGACTTCATCAACAAGATTTACACCTTCAAAGTAAACTTCCATTTGCCATAGGAAGTTTTCCACATCTTTGGCATCCCGTCACCCATCATAATGTTTAGGCTTCGGGTATTCAATCCTCGGGGCAACAATAGTTGAAGCGGCACCTCCACTTGTACCGGCAGTGGAGTGTTTGTATTGTTCAAGGTCTTTGCTCATTCTTTCCATCATCACAGCCAATTGGTTAACTTGGCCATGCATGGCGGAAACGGCATCCAAGACTTTGGTTTGAAGACGACCAAAATCATCCGTCACCGCGGCTCGTCTGGCTACCACAGCTCGAACATCATCTCTCATCGTTTGGACATCATTTTCCAACGATGCTTGTATGTCCATCACCTCTTCGACATTAATTTGTAGAGTTTCTAGCTTTCCAATGGCGTGTCCCTCCAATGCCTCCAAAGAGCTTTCAAGAGATTTGACCCGATCACCCATATTTGAGATGATTTGGTCAAGTTTACCTTCCATGTTGGTGGCTTCCCTCACCTTACTTTTGCCTCTAGTTTTCCTTACTTCAGTTTGGGCAGCACCTCGACCCCTCTCCTCAATCTCAATACCAACAGTTTCTTGAGATTCCGCCATTATAACGGCCTACAAACGAGGCTCTGATACCACTTGTCACGGACCTAGTTTCGTTACACCCGAACAACTAGAACCGTGCGGCTTTAACGCTTGACAATTCCCGCACCTTACGAGAAAACGTTAAGTCAGCCTTTTCACGCTCACAAATAATTTAACCAAGGAGGCTAAATTATACCCACGTTGAGAAGAGAATTTTGAAATAAGGGATATATGAAAAACAAGTAAGGTCGGGAAACTTTCTTTGTATAAATGAAAGGGAAAACTTTACAATCTCTCTAATGAATAAACTCATTGAACTCTACATGATTTACAAATGAGACTTCCATCTCTATTTATAGGCAAAATTTAAACCTCCTTAAGATTAAGTGGCATTACTTTACAACCTACGCTTAGTTGTTCACAACTCGTGCTAGTTGTTTACAACTCATGCTAGTTGTTTACAACTCATGTTTAGTTGTCGTCAAGTGGATAAGCTTACAACTTTCCTTGCAAGTTGTCGCCAACTCGATCTTAGCTTGCATAGTAGATATTATTCTTGCCAACTCGTGCTTAGCTTGCACTTTTGATAATATCTTCGCCAACTCGCGCTTAGCTTGTATCTTTGATAATATCTTGCAAGTGGCACAAGTGGACAAGTTGTACAAGTTGCTTACTTGCATCCCAAAATATCCCGCTGCAGGTTCATGTATTTTTCCTCCAAAATGGTTGGGTCGGGATTTAGAAAAACCTCATTAACGCCCTGGAAAACTGCACAATTTTAGGCAGCCTGCATTCTGCCCATTCCGTCCTGTTGCAGCGTGCTGTCCACACTGTTTTGCGGCTGCTACCGAGACGGATCGAACGCGACCGCGTGGGGCGTAAGTACAGGCATCCTAAGTAATTCAGGTTCGGCCAGAGTAGCTCCCAAAAATATGGCCACCCCTATCCCCTCATGTCAATCCACAGAGACTAGGCGCGGAAGGGTAGGCTTTTTCCTTGTGAGATTTCAATTGAGCTGATTGCCGCTTGCAAGAGAAAAAAAAGCAGGCCGTCAGAAATCGAGAGGGAAGGTCCTCCAAGGAAGAGGCATAGAAAGAGTGAGAAAGCTCAATCAAGAAAAAATATTTTTTTTAATTAAATGAATCTCTTGCCAGACTCGGGTCCCTATCATCGGCTTGTTGGCCGCCTCATTTACCTCACCATTACCCGACTTGACATTATCTTTGCAGTCAACATACTTAGTCAGTTCATGCATGTACCCCGAGCACCTTATTTGATTGCTGCTCATCGAGTTCTTCGCTAGCTTAAGGGCACTTCTGGTCATGGCATTTTCTTTGTAGCCTCCAGTTGTCTTGGGCTCATTGCCTATACAGATTCAGACTAGGCCAGCTGCCCAACCCCTTGCCGTTCCACCATTGGTTACTTCGTCCACCTCGGTACCAACCCCATTTGTTGGCACACCAAGAAATAAATCACCCTGGCTCGCTCCACCACTAAGGCTGAATACCGAGCCATGGCCATAACCACATGTGAGCTTATTTGGCTCAAAACTTGCTGATCTCAGCATATCCCATTCACTTGCTACTTATCTTTTTTGTGACAATCAGTCGGTACTACATATTGCTTACAAGCTAGTATTTCATTAGCAGACCAAACACATAGAGATTGATTGCCACACTATTCGTGACAAGCTTTGCTCTGGTTTCCTCACTCTATCTCATGTCTCCGCAACCGATTAGATTGAAGATATTTTTACCAAGCATTGGGTCATGACTTATTTCATTGCTTCTTCTGCAAGTTGGGATCATAGATCTTCATGCGCTAACATGAGGGAGAGTATTAACATTTCCATACTAAGAACGCAGTTGCACAAAATCTGCATGGATTTTAGTCAATTTTTCCCGTAAATCTTTATTCTTAGAATAGAAGAATTGCACAAGATTAGCATGGTTTTTAGCATAGTTTCACAAAATCTGCTTGGATGTTAGTTCATTTTACTTGTAATCAGCATGGATCTTAGTCATTTTACTTGTATAGCAACCTCACCGTACCTATTTATTGACATTACGAATGAATGTAACATATAGCAGAATTATACAAATCCTTTTCTTAACAGAAAACCTGAGAATTTTAATCCTTTTTGTTTTATATGTATTTTTTTTGGTGTTTATAATGAACTTCAGGAAGCCTCAAGCTGGTACAAAGAAGTGAATCCATCAAAGAGGTACCCATTTTGCATTTTCTATAAGTTGTCGACAATGATCATAGATTTTACTTGTTTAAAGTGAACACAAACATTTTGTTATGCATGTAGCACGATCATAAATGATGCATGATTATGACATGATATTGTTAATATCGTAGGTAAAGTATATGATACGTGTAGTTTGTTGGCAAAGCACCATATGACATGATTAATTGTATCAAGGTCTGAATTTAGTAGGACTCTCTAGCCTAGCTTTTATAACACACCAATTTATTATTTTCTCATTGTTGGTAAATTGTAACAATGCATTGTCCTAGTTAACTCGGCCACATAGGACTTTCGTGTTAGTTCGACTAAGAGAAGTGAACAGAGTAACCACCTTTGGGACTAGATGGAGATGAATGACCAGTTTGACATAAAAGATATATAGACGAAGTGTTATTATCTTCAAAATATATCTGATTAAGAATGGTATTTTGGAAAAATTTTATGGATGCAAAACATGAAAAAATTGGTCGTCCAAACTTCAAGAGTTGAGAATGAGTTTAAAGACTAATTCGTAGTAAATCACTACAAAATTGATTTCATATTCTTTGAGGGAAAAGGATCCCAAGGCTAGATATTCTATACGAGCTGGGCGATTATTAAGCAAAAGTAGCTGTACTTTAGGATCAATGTTGTCTTTATAAGATACGGCAAAAGTACACCAATTACTTTATATTTAGAAGATGTTTTTCCCTTTAGGCATAACATAATTGGCGAACCCTTTACTTCTAGTACTTGGGCTTCAAATAATATACACCATCTTAGTTCATATCTAGAATCAAACACGAACTTAAAAATAGTAAAAGAAATAGAAAAGCGAAGAATTTTGAAGAAGGATATTTGGACTCTTTTGATTGAATTTGAATATGAATCTGTTGGATATTTTAGCTCCATGAGCAAAAAATGTACATATGTTTTAGAATGAGGAATCTGCAGAATCTTCAAGTGACGAAAATAAAAGGAAATGGGAATGAAAGGACTCACCATGTATCACACCACACACGGCCAAGTGAAGAGTTTAAAGAGAGAAAATGGAAGAAAAATAGAGGAAGGTTGGTTCTGTGTAGAGGGAGATTGAGACTCACAAAAATTAGTAATATGAAACTTTGATTAGTGAAATGGTTCTCCATGTCCGTAGGTGATCTTCTCGATTATGTAAATTTTTGAGTTTTTCCTCTCCTATGATTATCAAAATATGGAAGTTCTGTTATGAGAAATTAAATTCCAATTTTCTCATCCAGTTCTCTAGAGTATCATTCATCCATTCTTAGTATTTATCTAAGATCATATACCTTCATTTTTTCGCACTGATAATAATACCCTCAGCATAGTTTTATGGATCAAATAAATTTACTGAAAACTGATTCTTAAAAATACTTTCATCTGAATCACCGATTTTATTTTAGTTTGTCATAAATATATATTTGATATTTGAAATGCTGCAATTGGATTGCAAGCCTTATTCTCCGTTAATTTTAATCATACATGTTGAAATACGCACATAGGAACCTAATCTGAATTTCCTTTAAATATTACTGCTCATCTTGCTTAAGGTTCTTATTTTTCCACCTAAAAAACCAGGAATAGGAGTTTGTATTGGAGTTTGACATTTTTATAAATTCGTTTATTATTAAAGAAATGTTTAAATTCGTTTTGCTCAAGTTAGTAGCGAAATTATTACAGAACGACAATCACGGGTGATACAATAATATTAGCTGGATCAATTCTTAAGAGAGATGAAAGAGTTCCTGACTCAACCCACTCTCCATCCATGGACAGCTTCGAATATATATTCCTGTTTATGGTTGCTTTAGTCATTGTTAGTTTCTTCATGGTGCAGTTATAATGATTATCGAAGGAGTATTTTTACATGTTCTTTTTCTTTATGATCAATAAATTATTAGATGATTTGATACATATAATTCAGTACTTTTGTTCTTTTGACGCATTATTATAATGTTTTTCCGGCCTTCTTGTTGATTTTATTTTTTCCTTACTTAAATATAGTTTTGTCATCAACGCCTCCTTATTTAAAAGTATGTGGCGACCAAACTGAATCACGACCTTAGCATGTTATGCAATATTGAAGCATTTCATTTAAAGTTTAAGGATTAGAGATATGACAAACTTACTCATTAATTTTATATTTCAAAACATAATTTCATGATTAAGTGATAAACCCTAATATTTTACCATATTTATTAATATTTTCATTAGTGCCTTGATTTTAGGGTGTAACTCCCGTAGCTCACATGTAATTAGTTGTAATTGATCCATATATTCTCATCAATACATGAATGAAAATCATCACCTTTGTACCAGAAAATATTATCTTCTTTAAGGTATCAAAGCCTATAATTTCTCAACAACTAATATCTATCAATACTTTCACCCAAATATCCTTCAAGCTGTATAGAAACAACAATTACACTTCATTGAAGTCTCATTTCACCAACTTCTTCTTGGTTATGATTTGATGGGTTACATTGATGAATCTTTTCTTTGCCCAACCAAAAAAAAAAAAAATAAAAAAAAAAAATCCTTGACACTAGTTCAAATACATCTTTTGCAAATCCTGCACACAAATTATGGGTTCGGCAAGATTGTCCTATTCTTCAAGCAATTCAAGCCTCTATCACTAGAACGGTGGCCTCTCTTATTTACTTGTGTAACACCTCTACACAAGTATGGTTCAAACTGGAGACCATTTTTGCCAACAAATCCAATACACGGATGTTGGTTCTTCTTCCATCACTCATGAAAGTGTCTAGATGGAAAATCTATGGCTGTGTATTTGCAAAGTCTCAAAATTATTATTGATGACCTTGCTTTGATTGGTCATTCTCTAACTAAAGCAGAGATCGTAGTTCACACACTTAATGGTCTTGGACGAGAATATAAGGAAATAATTGCAGCAATTCAGGCTTGTGATACATCATTATCTTTTGAAGAACTCCATGACAAGCTCCTTGACCACGAATCCTTTCTCAAACGAGATGAACCTCCTAAGTTCAGTTTACCTATCACAGCTCAATTGAGTAAAAAATCTTTCAATAACAAGGGGAAGAAATCAGCAATTTGGCGGTAGAAATTCTGACACTAAATATCATTCAAATAATCACACCTTCAAGTAGAAACCAAGGTGGTCAGTTTGTCAACAAAACTTATCAAAACAGAAGAACAGGAAATATCAGCTTCAATCCATTTGCCTATCCACAGTTCCCACAAAACTAGCGTCCAAATGGCGGGTGGGGAGAGAGAGAGAGAGAGAGAGAGAGAGAGGGGTCTAGGACATAGTAATTTCTTGAAGAGCACTTGATACTTCTCAATATGTTTCTTTTACTGTGTTTAATTTGATGATTCTTTTCGCATTGTATGGACCCATATTAATTTTTTAGAAGTACTGATACATTCAATCAGATTTTTTTTTTTTTTTCAAAAACATAACTTTAAAAATAGTCACTATCAACTAAATTAGATTTTATAATTAATTTATTAAAAGATGAGAAAGAAAATAGACAAAAATACACTTTGTCATATCAATACCAACGTCTTATTTATATTGAATGAGCATTCTATACATCTCCATTGAAATTTTAGGTTTCCTTTTCCACCAGCGTGCATATTATGATAGAAAGTGTTAGGTCGAAATTGTAATTGACAATTTTCGTATCCAAAATTATGAGTTATTGAGTTGTAATTAAAGTTAAAATAGTAAATGATTGGTGGCATAGGTGATGAAGGAGTCAAAGACGTCAAATATGGACTAAGGAGAAAAGGTTGGCACAGAACTGCTATCTGAACACGTATGGCAAGCTCGAATGCTCAAAATAAAAGGCAGACTCATTGCTCGCTATGTGTGAGGGGTTCACTCGAGCAGCGTATTTTTTTTGAGAAACCTTGGTTCGTGATTTAAAGCTGATTTTTCAATTCCATATTACCTCCAAACACTTCGTATTATATATACCGAAGTATGGGTCCTTCCCAAAATATGTTGAAACATTATTTCATATTAGGGATTGACGAGTGTGTATTACTCACGAGTTTTATAACATTCTAACTTGACTATGAGTTAGATCTTATGAGTCTTGAACATTTTTAATGTATTTATTAGTCTAGTTTTATAGGATTGGTGAGATGGTGCAAATCATGGAAAAGGAGAGAAAAAAAGATTATAGGCATAGGTCGAGGAAAAAAAAGGAAGGAAGAGGGAGACAAACACTAGAGGTGGATCTCAGTGCTACAGAACAGGACAGACAAAGATGTGGTGCTGCGACGCCACACTTGTGCCATTAAGATGCTACGAACAAGCAGGAGATAGATGCATGGCGTCGCGACTCCATACATCAAGGCGCCGCCCAATAACTCCTAGGGCTCTTTTTTTTTTTGGTTCATTTTGAAGTCCAAAAAAACTTTACAGCAACCAAAAATGTGAGGGCAACTTTAAATACAAGAAATGAGGCAAATGAAGGGAGTTTCACACATTGAGAGACAAGAATACAACTTGAGATTGAGAGATCAAAATCAAAGGAGAAAAACAAGAAATCAAGAGTTAGGATTTGGAATTAAGATTTGAGGCAAGAAGAGTAACTTGGTGCAAGATTCATCCACTTCTCCACTTATCAACTCAAAACCCGATGATGTACTTCAATATTGTTAACTGTTTTTCTCTAATATTATGATTTGCTAAGCTTTTCATTACGGCAAACGATATAATTTATTGAGACCCTTTATTTCTTTTATTCAAGATTGTTGTTATTTTATCATATATATGTTGATTTTACTATGAGTTTAATACATTGAATTAGGGATGACAAAAGGGCCGAACGACAGTAAAAACATGGCTCGGGCTCGTAAAATCACGAGTCCAAGCATGAGCCAAGCGGGTCGACCCGTTTGGTGAGCCACTCGTGGGGCATAAGCTATGAGCTTGGCTCGTGGCTCG